TTTAGAAATTTAACAGGAAAGAATCCTTGTTAAAAATTTAAAAAATTATCATTATCATTATCTTGTTAAGAATTAAAAAAATTATCATTACATTAAATATCAAGCGAGTATAGTTCACTTAATTATTATGGATTTAAACCTGGATTCAAATCGATTCAAGACGAATGTTTTTTGCTAATTATGTTGAAATATTAGAATAAGTATAAAATTAAGCGGCAGTAATTTTTTTCGGAATTGCAATGTTTGCGCATTCTTCAAAATCTCATCTTAATATTGAGAACTCTCAGTAGTGCAATTGGTAGTTAGAGTATATTCAAGTTATTCACTCGATTTTTAACCTTGCAGTTAAAACATAATTTGTGTTTAAAGAAATTAATAAGCAAAACATTTGTGATTCGAATAATTTGTTTCTATCCACGCTCAACCGGATGATTCTAAATGTCAATCATTGCACCGTTCTTAAATTTTTACTTAAAATCAAATTATAATTCTATTGCTTGTTAGTTGCGTAGCAAATTAGTCACTGCCTCTGCGTCATTATTATAGTTCTTTTTTATCCACATATACTTCCAGTAATATATTGAGTTGGGTATACAATGAGCGAAAGAACAGCGAACGAACATCGAACGCGAATATTCGAATAATCACTCGTTGTTCGCTCGTTTCTCCTTCAGCTGTCATTTGCTTGTACTTTTAAGTGAAAATATATATTTGCTTGTACTTTTAAGCGAAAATATATCAATCAAATCCAAGGGCTCACAGAGCATGAGACATAAGAACCTTCACCACCAGTATTTGTCTTGGATGATTTCAAATTCATTTAGATGAAGATGAGATAAACACCCACAAAATTCATTTTAGATGATTTTGCTTTTGATTTATTTAGATGAAATATAAGTCGCGCTACTTATCTAGATAATTTTTTAGATGATATTGTTTTCATGAGAGACTATAAAAATTTATAATAAAAATTATGTAGGTCATAAAATGGTATAACGGTTAAGTAATTCGTCAACATGATCGCTCTAAATTTAAGGATCTAACAAAAAAGACCAATAATTATTAATTGCTCACTCACAGTTGACAGTTTGATACGGACTTAAAGTGGATTGATCAATTGAAACAAATCGTCTGTTCTCTTTAGTTATATTGTTCAATTGGTGCAATAAGTTTGAGTGAGACAAGTATATTTTGTCTAACTTTCTCTAACTTATCGTACCAGTTCAGTCGTGCAGCTGAAAAAAACAAACTAAAGGAGACAAGACCGAAATTTGTTGATTCGTTAAAATCTAATTTCCAATCCCTAGTGTGATACGGGCTTAACGCATAGATCCATATTATTTCATTCATTTGATCGAAAAATGAGTTCAGAATATACTATAACATTTCAGATAATTTTTAGATGAGATAACATGTTTTTTATTACCTAAGATGAAGATGAATATATTTTGTATTTTTCCCATTTAGATAAAGATAAGGATGATCTATTTATTTGTCTAGATGATTGTTTAGATAATTTTATCTAGATACAGGCAAACAGTTTTCACCATTAATGCAGGATGCCACTGCCATATGCGTAGCATGAATCCGTGTAGCCAAATTAAAGCTATTGTCACTAAGCATTCAATGAGCTCTTCCGTCTGATTGATATATTAGCTGCGTCAATACCATTCAAAATTGAAAGCATTGACTTACTCTAGTTGCTTCAGGAAAGTTGTTTCATTGGCTAAATATTGTCTTAAGATAATCTTAAGAGCAAACCGATGTCTCCGATTTACAATGCCGAACTCAGCTACTTTTGAATCTAAAAATATTACAAGATAATACGAACAAATCACAGTCAAGAGCTAACCGAGTGTTTGCGAACTTCTTTTGTCCTGTCGCGAGCGATTCGGCACGAACGTGAATCAAACATTCTTTTCGTATTAGTTAAGATGTATACATTTCCGAATACATTCGTTGTTCACGTTCGTTGCGTATTCGTTGTTTCACTCAGTATATACCCAACAGTAGACAACGCGGGTACAGTTACGAACCATATATTATTATATATTATTATGTAATGTAAAATTATCTTTAGGTGATATTTGTGCGCGTTATATATGTATATTATATAATTAGTATCTTTTGTTCTTATTTCTATAATAGATGAAAAGACTAGATTTTGGTACTTACTATAGATCAAATGTAAATGACGAACTTTCAAGTATTCCCGATCAAAGCCGTAAGGCACGTAAATTTGGTTAAATTATACGTCCGAAACTATTAGGTGTGCAAATTAATTCGATGCCTTTACATTTAACGTCTTATAACTTTGGTTCAAATTAAAATTTTTTTCTCGCTCTATATGGTGATTTGAAAATAACAACCTTAAGCTGTAAGGAACATTATAATAGTTGACGGCCTTGCTGACGTAACTTCAGAAAGCAGTAGTTATCACGATGTCGTCCGAAAAGGAACATCTGAGGCATTGCATCCTTTCTGCGTTCCAGTTGAGTGAAAATGCTGCTCAGTCTACCGAAATGATTTGTCCCGTTTTGGGTGAAGGTGCTGTGACACATAAAACTTGTAGAAAGACCTTTTACCGGCGATGGAACTAGGCTGGCGATTCTGCTACACGATAATTTTCGACCACGTGCCGCGAAAGGGACGAAAGTTCTCATCCATATACATTGGTTCGGGAAATTCTCGATACGTATTTTAAAACAGTTGACGAGGTCCGAAAAAGCATCGATAATTTTATGGAGTCAAAACCGCCAAGTTTTTTCCACAAGGGCATTCATCAATTGCCCGACAGATGGAGTAAAGTCATAGGAAATAATGGAAATTATTTCGAATATTAAACTTGTACTTGACTTTTTATAATTAAACTTTAAGTTTCATGAAAAAAAGCACCGAATTAATTTGTACACCTAACTTTTTATGTTATAAATTTCAAGAATTGGCGGAATTTCCGTGCAAGTTAGATTTAATTATTTTCTCCATTATTCTTCAACTCGATCAATATTAATTTGTATATATATATATTTAACATTATCTTCTACTTATGTTGGATGTATTTATTATACGTAACTGTGTCCGCAACGTAATCCGCATTGTTTATATAAATGCAGTCATGCGATATTTAAAGTATCTTTTCCGGCGGCGTTCAGGAAACACAGCGGTTAAGTAAGCGCTCAGTTATTGAAATATTCTACATCTTTCATCTTAAAGTATGCTTTAATTAGAGGAAATAATCATCATTGTTAGAGGAAATAATCATGATTGTTTACTGAGCATTTTGTTTCACTGAATGTAAATATTGTTATTCTTTATATGTGACATTACGTCAAAAGTCTTATTCTATAATTACAGATCTCCTTTTACCGAGCGCAAACTGTAATGAAAATCTTGAAAAAATGTATTGAAAATGCTGTTTTTTTTTTTATGACAGTGTAGTGTATATATGTATCTATATAAATTTCCAAATATACCAGAAAGAAAAAATATGTAAGTATGTGCGCACATGTGTTAGAGAGATGATTAGAGAGAAGGAAGAAGAAAAGGCGTAACGGGAAAAAATAACACTGCGGGAGTATTACACAAGGTGTTCTAATCATTAAGTTAAAATATTTTAACTAACGTATTTGAATATCTCGTAAATTAAGTGAGATATTGAGATCCCGTTTCTTGATGTCGTATGGTAGGTAGAAGGTTGCATTTTAATTTAAAAAATGTGATTTAAGCTGCTTTATTAAGATCATAACAAGCATATTTTGAATTTTTAAATAGAATAATATGAATTTTTTAAATAAATCAATTCTTCAAGCTATTCTGCATTTAAAAGTATTAAAGTAAATTTATTAAAAAAGTAGATATTTTCAGAGATATTTTACGTTATATTTCGATACTTTCAGGCAAGATATGAAACATCTCGAAAAGTATTCATTCTTTATGGTCTCATCTTAATATTTTTACATGTAGAATAACGAGTGAAATCTATTGCTATGAGAAAACCATAGACATATGTTAAAAAAATCTAATTGCATTTTGCAAATTTACATTACTATGCAAAGGTTAGTATCATCAATTGACTTTTCTTATTATTCCATTTACAGAAATACCAAGATGAGATAAGATTATTGAAAAGTGAATATCCCTTACGGAAAAATAGTACTGGCAATCAGTACTCAATGCAAAGTGAGAGATCAGTACTCGTAGTATTAGGTGTATTAGTTCGTTAATACTTATAAATATTACAGAATGGTCAGTATTGTCAGTAGCCTATATAGTACGAGAAACCAGGAGCTTTAATATTCAATTTAAGGGATCCTTCCTGAGTCCTCTCACTCGATGTAGCCGCGCTCTGCGCCTCGATCACCATCTCGATCCTACTCCTAAAGCGCGAGCACGACGTCTTCAACTGGGCTCGGCCGCAAACGCCGCACAGTGGAGTCAAATCTTGAAAAGCTGGCCAAAATCTTAAAAAAATAAAAATGTGATTCGTGGAATTTTGATTGGTAGGACGGATAGAGGGATGATTGGTGCGTCCAATTGTGGAAAAGAAAGGACTTTCTCTCATACCTGCGTCTGCGTCCATTGTGTTCAATTCGAAATTAACCTTCGTCCGGATTATACACGTCGTGCAAAAAGCGAAAAAAAAAAAATTATGGTTCGTTATAAATTGAATAACTTGGAAGTGAAGTGTTCGATTTTAATTCTACGATATGAAAATGACTCCTCTAGAAGGTACGTGGAAAATTTTTTTCAATTGATACAACCAAATTTAATGTTTATGCTTGTGAAGTAAGGCATGACTCAGTGTCTTTGAGGAAATGATAGAGATAAAGAAATCTCGGAGAAATGACTCATCGAATCGACGTCGAATCAACGTCGATTCGATGTAACTTCGATTTCGTTTTAAAATCTATTTAACGATTCAATTCGACATCGATTCGATGTACATCTCTCGCTGGATAAAAGTAGTGTCATAATTATTACTGATGACACAATATGAGGTATATTAAGTAAAATAAAGAGATATGGCACGATATTTGCGTTTTTATGAGATTTCAATAGAATATCGTGAGATTGGAATATTGGAATATCTCAAACACACTAGGACATTAGGATATCTGTGGGATCGCATTTGTAAATCTGCAACAATTTGGGGAACAAATACTTGAAAATAATTACATGATTATCCTGAGGATAAAGTGTGCTGTGTGGGTATATGATATTCTTATATCATGTGATTATTTTTAAGTATTTGTTTATATAAATTATATATTTATGCAAGTAACATTTTTGCAGTTCTGTGTGTACAGTGAGTATTATGTTTCAGTCAGTGTTTATGTGCTTGTTGCGTCTGTGCGCATTACACACAGCTTGCAGCAACATTTTTGTAATGTTGCAACAACATTGCTGCAAGCTTTTGTGTTATATATGTACTACAAGAATATCCGCAGCTTAATATCACAGAAATATCGCAATAATGTTGCAATATACTAGAAATAATATGTATTCGAGTAAAATATTATATAATTATTATTGATATATTCCCAGTGAACATCAACTAATAATAACATAACGTCAATGTTATTATTTCCCACTCAACAATGTAAAGACAAACGTGTGTATTACGTAACAGTTACGTTGTTGAGTGAGAAATGATAACATTGATGTTATGTTACTATTAGTTGATGTTCACTGGATTACAGATTTATATTACACATTTATATTAAATGTTCCGGTTCATTTTGAAGAATTTTTTTTATAGAAAATCACGTTTATTTGAAAGAAACGTTAATTATCTTTAATTCCAAATATTTCCCATCGTAAGCTAAAACTTTTTCCCACTTTTCTGGCAATAAGTGAAATTTGCGATAAAGAAAAATGTTCATCCTTCGGAGCAACCCAGTCATCGAACTATTTTTGTATTTCTTCGTATATTTGGAAGTGCTGGTCAGCAAGACTGTGCTGTTTCAATCGAAATAAGTGATAATCTGAAGGAGCATAGTTTGGTGAATACGTGACGTGTGATAAGACTTTTCGTTGAAGTGCCGATAACATATCTTTAACCGTTTTTGCGACGTATGTTCGAGTATTATCGTGCAACAAAATTGACGTGCAAAAACTTTATATTTTCTTTGAGCTATTATTGGACGTTTCTGCTTCAAAGCACGAATCAAATCGGTTTAATTATTGTTGATAACGCTCAGTAATGACTTTTTGATTCGGTTTCAGAAGATCATAATACATATAATCTTCTTAATACATAATACATATAATAAAATACTTTTCATATCCCATCAAATGCATAACAAAACCTTACTTCCGTGGATATTGCGTTTTGGAGTCGATGTCGACGGTTGGCCTGGATTTGCCCACGATTTTTTACGCTTATCATAGTAGATTTATTTTAAAAACTGTTTCTTTTTGTGACGAGAAAGCAATGAAGTGTAAGTTGAAGGTTAAACGATTTTGAATAACCAATTCAATCAGACAATTAATGTGGAGCCTATTTACCTTCTTTTTGAATCTTTCCAATTGCGTGTAAAAAGTCAGAAACGATTGATTTACCAACATTTAATGCTTTAACTAATTCTTGAAGTGTTTGAGCTGAGTTTTCATCCAACAATGCCTGCAATTTGGACCTTTTGGTTGACTTGAACGTTCTTTGTCTTTCAAATAAAAATCATTATTTTTTAATTGTCGAAACCAATACTCATATGTTTCAACTGATAGAGCAAACTCGGAATAAGTTTCTAAGATAAATCGATGACCTTCGGCAGCCGTTTTCTTCGAATCAAAGCAGTAAAATAATAAATGACGAAAATACTCTTTATCACGTTCCATTTCCTGTCGCATTAAAATGTATCCAAGCAGCACGTAAACGTTCGAGGAACGTTCGCTTTACGTTCAATTGGTTTGGTTATATTCAAACAAAGTGGGAACGTTCGAAGAACATACGTTTTAGAAACTTTAATATATATTTTAATTAAAAAATGGAATTGTAACAGAGCAGCATAATTGTGATACTGCGACACTTTTATTACGTAAGATATATATTAAAGGTTCTATACTATACTAGATTCTATACTATACTAGAGTATTGAATAAGTATTAGGGAAAATACTAAATTAATACTGAGAAGAAGTATTAAGAAAGTACAGGTTGCATTAGTACTTTGGAGCTCAGTATGGTCGATTTGGTAGTATTTTGAATATACATGTCTCCAGTATTTTCAACATTTTTTTTTTTACATTTTTCAGTACTGTAATCAGTATTATTTTTTCACAAGGGATACTTTACGAGTAATTTATATCTTATACTGAAAAGCATCAGGATAAAATGTAAAATATCTCTGAAAGTTCTCATTTTTACGAGATGATCTTATTTTAATATTTTTATGTGTAGAATGACCTGAAGATTCAATTTATGTAAAAAAAATTACATTATTCTATTTAAAAGTGTAAATGACTGACGTTATCTTAATAGAGCAACTAACCAAGGTCAAATTTTTTGAATTAAAATGTGTCCTGGTTTGTAACAACTTCGATAAAGCGGAATCTTGATATTTCATATAATTTCTCATACAATACAGACGTTCTAAAGACGTCCTGAAGACTTCCCTACATCCTAAGAACATTCCTCGGATAAAGCTATGTATGAGTTAAGAGATATTCAAAAACGTTTAAAATGGTACACTCTATATATGAATGAGGAGCAAAATACGGGAAAGATTTTTCTTTTTCTTTTATAATAATTTCTACTAGTTATAAAAATGTTAGCTATTTTCCATTCCTCAGAACTCTTTCTCTTCGTCGACGCATCCATCTTTGAAGTAAATATAACTTGAAAGATTCTTCGAGTTGTGAACCGCAATGATGATATATATAAAATATATACTTATATATAAAAATAGCGATGTGAAAAATGTTAACTGCAATTTATGGTTGCGTATCATTCTCAATATGCAATATTCTTTACTAACTCACTCCTTTTACGTAAAATTTCTCTCTTTTCGAAGCAATCGTTGCGTAGTTACGAGCCACACGAATAATGACTACCATCCGCACGTGTTCAATATGTTTTTTAAAATAAAATATTGTTTAAAGGTATATAATGAATATCTTCTTTCACACTTCCTTCCTCATTTTTTGACGTTGCCAACATTAACAAAAGTTAGAGATTGTAATGAATGAGAAAGAAACAGTTATAAGCCTCAAGCAAAAATATCCAGTTATAAGCCTCAAGCAAAAGTATGAATGAACTGCAAATGCAGAATAAATGAATGATAACAATTTAATTGATGACCATTTTCACATATTACAAGCGACAGATTTTCAATATATGATCTCTACATTTTTTGGAGTGAAGATTTACATGAAATAAGTAAAAGTACTATTACAGATCGTAAAAACGAATATCTTATCTCTTCAGGCTAAATATTCCGACTATGTACGAGTGGCATATAATAATTTATTAAAGTGAAAACATTCTTACTCCGCAAAATATATTTTACTAGCAGGTATGTAAGATACGTAATTAATATATCGCTTATTAAAATTAAAAATACATACAATATTGTTGGACTCCTGACCGATCGTGATGCGAATTTGTTGAAATTATGATAATTTGGAACGTTATAACTTCGTTGGAAATGTATCTGAGTGACTTTATCGACAAATCCGAAGTTATCATCTGGACGCGCGCACCTTTGGGTTGGCAATCCGTCGCAATGAATCGTATGCTTAATATCTGTCTCACATGTGTAAGTTGCTTTGAGTATTCGAGTAGTCTGATTGCCTTTGCAATGAACCGCCACTTTACCCGAATAGCACAATTCTTTTTCTCCGCATGCTTTGTTGTCGCGTACCAACCATTTCTCTTTCTATATCAATATAATTTTATCATAAACATGTTAATACATACATATATATATATATATATATATTATATTAAACACATAAACTGTATAGAGAAGAAGTAAAAACTTAAAATGTATACAAATTAAATAGAGCTTATAAAAATCTTTTGTTTTTTCTTCTCTTCTTTTTTCAAATTTGTGCTTATTATTTCAAGAACTTACAGGAGACTTTTCCGAAATATTCACTTCACTGAATCTCTTTAATAGGATATTTTCTCCTCCAGCAGTTCGATTATTAGATAATTGTTGATTAATTAAGGATCTAGGATGCCTTGAAATTATTTGTCGGCCTCCTGGAATATATTCCTAAAAAAAAAACACAAGATATATTAAGGTATTTATTTTATTATTATTAGATTGAACTCTATATTATATTAAGACAATTATTAAATCTCTGTTGATGTATGTTGTTGTAACTTAGTAACCAATATATTAATTTTAAGTGTGAAAAAAGCACTTTAAAAGTAGCAGAAATGGAATTAAATAGCCAGGCCCGAGTTATACTCGGGCTTCGGCAGTTGTTGTCTGCGCGCTACCCCAACCTATACTCGGGCTTAGAACAAAGAGTGTTAAGGGAGAATTCACACCTTGACAGAAAAGCAGAAAACGGGAAAGCAGCAGCCAATCAGAACTCACATTGGTAGTATGTAGTAGGAAGCGTCCCGATTGACCACGTTGAAATTGACCATCACTAACCACAGCCAGTCTTGATTTAGTGTTTTCCTAGTGTCGGGCAATTAATGTAGCTCGTGCTCAATAGAGACGTCAATCAGGTCCCACCCTAAGCGGTGGATAAAGTAGAAACTGTCGACTTCCAGTCCGAGTTCTGATTGGCTGTTGCTTTTCTGTCAACATGTAAATTCTCCCGAAGTGTCGAAATTAAACGCACCAAAGAATTTCTAAGGTATCTAGAGAGAAATTTAGGGACCTTTGAAATTCTCTATCCAACAGCCAATCGGCATATCCGACAATGCTCATCGTATAACATATATGATATCAGCCTAAGTTAGTGTATGCATTTCATTTCTCAACGACAGTAGCGCACCCTAATGATCGCCGGGGAGTATAACTGAAAATTGACCGCCATTTTAGTTTGCCTACTCTAGGACACGTCAAATTATCTCACTACCGCACAGTTGTGTTAGTCATTTCGAGCTGTTTGACAGTTCGTTTCGAAATAGTTCGGGGCGAGAGAGTTAGTCGATATCTTGTGTGCTTCGCGATCTTCCGGTCGACACCCACCTTCGGCCAAGATCAGGCGGCACCCTATTGCCGATTCGGCATGGGTGATTCTTTGGACGGTTCCGGGGAGCCATCCCCGGAATCACAGAATGTTGCAGTCGTCGAATTCACCGCATTCGCGAATTATCTACGTAAAGCGGTTACCGTGCTGCTACCGGATGAGGACGTGATGCCGCCCGCGTTCAACATGGCCCTCGAAGAAAGATATAACCAGGATTGCATACGTAAATTCCTCGGTGATTCACAAGTCAGTTCGCTCTATATACAGAGAAGTTCGACCAAAGGTAAGACGTAATTCATTTACATCTCGAAGAATTATCGTCACCGGACGGTTAGTGATGCGCGCGATACATCTCTCATTCCTCCTCTGTCTCTTTATTGCTATCAGATACGTTCGATTTAGATTATAGAACAACTGTACAATTTCACGGTTACACAGTAAACGAACAAGTAAGATTTTCACTCGGAGTAGTCATTTTTTTTTTTTAACGTAAACGATCATCTGGGGGAGTTCATTTTAAACCCCAATTAAAAGTCATTATTAACAAAATATAGTATATTATCGATTTTTCTATGATTTATTATTCAAGGATATTGCAGATATAAATTTACTTGTTATTTTTTGAAAAAAATACGAAGAGACCAAAATATTTAAGAAACGGAATAAGCATTTCAAGTGTCTTATTATAATAATATTTCTAATGAATGAAGATATCAATTAAAAAAAAAAAATACTTTTATTGCATATTTTCGATGGGATAACATATTTAGAGGATAATTATTAAAAAAGATTAGAAATATATTAAATAACATTCATTTTATAAAAATGCAAAGTAAGGCATAATCACAGTCACACATAGTTACTCGTATTGATTTATGATTATAAAAATGACATTTTTATATTTCTTTATTATATTATATAAATGTATGACAAAAAGTATTTTTAAACGAAAAAAATTATAAAGTTTTAAGAATATAGATATTTTTATGTTTAATATTAAATAATAAATGTTTGAAATATTCATTTCACTTATAATAAATGTTGATGTTAACTATGTATATTAATTATAAACCATAAATATAAATATTAAATATTTAATAATTACACTTTTGCTATTTTTCTGGGTATTTGTATCAAACAGTGTCAGATGCTATGTAAATGTTGCTTAGTGTTTATTGGATACGAGGAATACATATATAATCTCATTGAAACTTATTATCTTATATTCATAATATAAACTTTAACTATGCATGACTAATTTTGTAGTATGAATGATCACCTGGGGTTTTGTATACCAACCAATTTTTACAAGTTTATAATGTAAATAAGACGGATCACAGCCAATTCTTGTTGCACAGATTAGATCTCTAAGTGTCTAAATGAAAGGTAGATAAGTATAGATTAGTAAAACAGACTCACGTGCGACGTGAGTTTAATTTATTGCTGGCGTCTGAAATGACCTCAGGTGACTATTCCCGGATTAATAAACTATCTACTTCTGATTTTGATAAAATTTTACAGGTACATGGTACTAATTAAATGTAATTAAAACAACAAATGCGAAGTTGCCGAAATGCAACTAATTTCTGAGAAATCAACATTTTAATTATTTGACTAATTAATCTTTTTTTTTAAGATTTCGATATGAAAAATAATTAAAATTTAAACATATTCTGTTGAAATCTTTCAATTTATTCATTTTTTATCATATCAATTTATTAGTGTGTTAAAAAACTGGATAAATATATGGAACAGAAGACTCATTCCTAGTGACTTTGACACGTGTTAATACATTAATAAAATGAAACATTTCAGCAAAATAGTTTTTTTATTCTGTTTATTTTTCACTGAAATCTTGAAAAATGTTAATTAAGTTGAATAATTAAAATTTGACATTTTCGCAACTCCATACTAATAGTTTCGACTACTTTAGTGCTATTATATTTGTAAAATTTTATCAAAATCGGACGTGGGTAGTATACTAAAGTTAAACCAAGGAATATATCTTAGGAGTCGATCGCATATTCATGCTTTAATCGATGCTTGCTTCTTATGACGTGATTCACTCGGTCAGTGATATGGAATGCATATTAATATCGACTGACGTAGGCAAAGTAGACAATTGGTCTGTTCTTTTTAGTTGAACTGACTACATTAATTCAAAAAATTGACGCATACTGAAGCATGAGAATCTCGTACGTACGCTTTGTACGCTTCAATGTATATGTAAATTTTTTGAACTATTTAGCTAAAAAGAACAGAACAAATTACTTGTCTGATTTTCATTTCATTTTGCTCGAACTATATTTGTGCCTATTTGCGAGCATTAGATGGAATGATTATAATGTGATCTAGGAGTCGTTTTCTACATAGCGAATACTAAATTGCTTTTCTAATTTTCAAGTTGAGATAACATTATACGTGATGTTAATACAAGAAAAATGGAACTTGGAATTATAAAAGCATATTTAATGTGCACTATGAATTACTCCAGAATAAGGCTTCAGTATTCAGGAGAGTACAGTGCGGAATTTGCAAACAAATGCGTGATTTCTATCGACGTATCAAATTATTGTTAGCGCAAATACCATTTTCGTGTTTAGAATCTTTATTTCTGAATAGTTAAATAATGAAATTTAGGAGAAAGAACATAAATTATAGTAAAATAAGGAACGTTTAATTAAGGAGAAGAATAATAATAGGAAAAATTATAATCGTAGTTCGAATTGACAGAATTGCTTGCAACATGTCCGTTTTGCACGATTGCTTGTGTGAGACTCTTTTGTCTTCAACTGTTCACAGTCTTTGTCCAGAGGAATATTATTCATCTGTCAAAGTTTGTCATATTTATTTAATATGTATTTCGCGTTTCGGATATAGTATATTCGATATAAATCGATCCCTCTCGGTACAAGTGCAGATGCAACAATACACGATATTTCTTAAATACTGTCCAATATTTTAGAAGTTAATTTTTGAAGTTATGTAGAATAGTTCATATGAACATATAACCTCAAGGGTCTTTTTAGAGAACAAGATATTAAAAATTCGATAAAATTATTATTTCTTCTTGATAATTTATAACGGAGATTTCTTTTTAATCTTTTATGGTTAATAAATAGGCACGGTATTATACTGTTATTTCTATATAGTTGTATTTTATTTTGCTATAGTTGCTGTTTTATAAAAATTAACAGAAATTAGGTTTAAGTAGCATATTATTGCCCTGAAATTGTACGCCAATGGACGAAATACAATTTTTTTGCAAATTTTTATTATTTTATTAATTACTTAAGAAAATAATTAACTCAGTCTTGGTAGATTTCGATAAAGTCATTTGTTTAGGAGATATTTATGTTCCAATATTTTAATGTGTTTGATTCTGTACATGCAAGATTATTATTATACTTTATTTAAGATTATTATTTATATTATTCTCTCTTTCTCTTTGCAGAAGAAGATAGTGGTGAGGGAGACGAAGACAAGGAAAATGCAATTTATTATATATCAAATGAGATACGTTTCTCAAATCCGAAAATGGCCTCCTTAGTTTTAACGAAACGCAGCATGGTCATCGAAGCTGACAAATCCGTTCACTCTCAATTGCGTTTGATCACCTTCTCCGACGGGCCACCGTATGAAACTTTGCATGCAATAAGCAAAACTATGGCGCCTTATTTCAAAAGTTACGTAAAGGAAACAGGCCGCGCTCACAGAGACGGAGACAAAATGGTACCATTAGTGGAGAAAAAAATTGCAGAACTTGAAATGGGATTGTTGCATTTGCAGCAGAATATTGACATTCCAGAAATTTCGCTACCTGTCCATCCAATTGTCGCGCAAATCATCAAACAATGCGAGGAAGAAGGTCGTAAGCCGAAAGTCGCTGACTTCGGAGATAAAGTGGAAGATTCAACGTTTCTGAACCAATTGCAGAACGGTGTGAACAGATGGATTAAAGAGATTCAGAAAGTGACTAAACTGAATCGAGATCCGGAATCGGGCACGGCACTCCAAGAAATATCTTTCTGGCTAAATCTCGAGAGGGCATTGCATCGTATTCAAGAGAAGCGAGAAAGTATCGAAATCTCCTTGACACTCGACATACTCAAACATGGCAAGCGATTTCATGCTACCGTGAGCTTCGATACCGACACCGGCCTGAAACAGGCGCTGGCCACGGTGAACGACTATAATCCGTTGATGAAAGATTTCCCGATCAACGATCTATTGTCGGCTACCGAATTAGAAAGAATACGCAGCAGCGTGCAGCAGATTTTCATGCACTTGAGAAAGATAAGAAGCACGAAATACCCCATTCAGAGAGTATTGAGATTGGTGGAAGCTATCTCGAGAGATTTAGGGCAACAGCTGCTCAAGGTGTTGGGTACGCGACGTTTGATGCATATTCCGTTCGATGAATTCGAGAAAGTTATGGGCCAGTGTTTCGAGGTGTTCACTACTTGGGACGACGAGTACGACAAGCTGACGGGGTTGCTGAGGGATGTTGTGAAGAAAAAACGCGACGAACATATGAAAATGGTGTGGCGAGTATTGCCGGCGCACAAAAAATTGCAGTCCAGAATGGAACATATGCGTCGCTTCCGTCGGCAGCACGAACAATTGAGAACGGTGATAGTTCGCGTACTCAGGCCCGTTCGTCAAAACAGTAATAACTCCACGATGGAAAATACCGATAATGACAATGTAAAAGTAGAATTCGCTTTGGACGCTGCGGATGCTAATGCGATTAGTGAAGTTAATTTGGCATACGAGAATGTGAAGGAGGTGGATTGTCTGGATATCAGCAAGGAAGGGCAGGAATCGTGGGATGCCGCAGTGCACAGATACGAGGAGCGTATAGAGCGCGTGGAAGCAAGGATAACGGCTCATCTTCGAGATCAATTAGGTACGGCCAAAAATGCAAACGAAATGTTTCGGATATTCTCAAGATTCAATGCGCTCTTTGTGAGGCCGCATATTCGAGGCGCTATCAGGGAATATCAGACGCAACTGATACAGAGAGTCAAAGATGATATCGAAGCATTGCACGAAAAGTTTAAGGTATTTAAATGTATAGATAGTTTTGATTCTTATATCTTTGTATACACTTAAAAATATCAAACAAATAAATATATCAGTAACTGTAAAAAGAATCTTATTTTTTAGGTTCAATATGCGCAAAGTAAATGCTGCAGAATGAGTATGGTGAGAGACTTACCACCTGTCGCCGGATCTATAATATGGGTTAAACAAATTGATTATCAGTTGACGATGTATTTAAAACGCGTTGAAGATGTCTTAGGTAATTTTCAAAACTTCAAATTTTAAATGATGATTCCTGAAATTAATATAAACAATATCTTCAGGTAAAGGATGGGAAAGCCATATCGAAGGTCAGAAACTGAAAGCCGACGGTGATAGCTTCCGTATGAAGCTATCGACGCAAGAGATTTTCGACGAGTGGGCGCGTAAGGTGCAAGCACGAAATCTCGGTGTAACCGGGCGTATCTTTACTATCGAAAGTGTGCGTTCGAGAACAGGACGCGGCAATGTATTAAAGTTGAAAGTGAATTTCCTCCCTGAGATTATTACACTATCCAAAGAAGTGAGGAACTTGAGAAACCTCGGATTCCGTGTTCCTCTACCTATCGTGAATAAGGCTCATCAGGCTAACCAGCTATATCCCTTTGCCATCAGTTTGATCGAAAGTATTAGAACTTATGAGAGAACACTAGAAAAGGTAAGACGATCATAATCACTGCACATAGTCACTCACCATCCAGAAATTAATAAATTTAATAAATAGTCGAACTGTTTTATTTCCTGGATGTTTTTGCACTACACGAATTATCAATGCTATATCAATATAGGCAACTTAAAGCTTTAAAAATTTAAATAAACAATAAATTTATGCTAGGATAATAGTGCCAGGTGTGAGAATACATGTTAGAATTAATCGATATCTCTAATTCCTTGGATCTCCAATATTTTTAGCTTACCAATCGGAGTCCCCATTGTCCCGCACTAAAGGTAGTCATACTTGACGCTTCCAGGAATTATGTATCTTGTGCGGATATATATATAAGATGTCCAAAATCTCTCGGTTTCTATAATGTACAAGTAGAATGGGTGATACTGGGCAGAAAAATCATGTATCATTTTGCAAAATTCGCAATTAATAAGAAATTAATTTATATGAGCTAATGAGCACATGGAAACGATAGGCCAATAACTCTGCATATAGAAAAATAGCTTATTTCTGAAAAACTAGCAACGATAGATATCAACTGATTGCGAGAAGCGTGTTTCTTTTCATAGTTCTGTGTCACGTGCCGCTCGCTACGTTACTCTGCCTTTAGAAATCAGTTAATGCTCATCGTTATTAAGAGATCTTCAGAAGTAAGTCATTTTTTTTTAATATAGAATCCGACCTACTATTTCCCACGTAATTATTAGCTCATACAGATTGATTAATTCCTCATTAATTATTGAGAATTTTGCAAAATGGTACATGACTTTTTTCCTCAGTTTCACTCGTTCTACTTGCACACCACGGAAACTGAGAAAGGTTTAGGACACTCTACATATATGCATGATATATATATATATATATACATACATATATATACATATATATACACACATATACATATATAATATGTATACATACATACTACGCAAATACATATTATTGTCTGCCTGCTTAGCTATTGTAGAAGAATATGTAATGCAAGATCATACAAATTTATTTTCACTGATTTACATATTTAACGAATGTTATATCAATTATTTTCAAATACATGTAGGCTTATGTACGGATATGCGGAAGTCTGTAATATCTTGAAACACTAAAAGAAAATGGAAATACACACATGTTCTATACTGTTTTATGAAAAAAATGTATATCTGTAAATAATATGTATAAATGTATATAAACGTATATATATAATTATAATTTGACTTAAAAAATTAAGGCTATCCGCACGTTCGAAGGCAATGTTGCTTAAAGGCAATATAATACATGAAATTGTTTCGTTCTTTCGATATGAATATGCCAACAATTAATATACGTCTCTATTTTTATCCATATTAAATTTTTGCGTATGCATATTCTTGAGTTCAGTATTGAATGATAACTCATGTAATTTATGTCGTAAAACTGTATCAAGACCATTTTGCACATGTGTCGCAAGCAAAAAGAAATAATTTAATAAATTATATTTCTAGATCGAAGACAAAGCTAGTATTATACCCTTGGTTGCTGGTATGCGTAAGGATGTCCTGTTATTGATCTCTGAGGTGAGTTTATACAAAATGCAAGTATATATTTTTAATATATGCCGTTCTATATTTACTTGTTTTTATAAAATTGCATTATACATTTATTAAATTGTGATTATATTTTAACTTTATACACATATACCATATATACATTGTGCGCGTGCGCGCGCGTGTGTGTATATATATATATATACATATATTATACGTATATATATATATATATATTTATTTATAGGGTATTGCATTGGTTTGGGAAAGCTACAAACTTGATCAATACGTGCAACGTCTGTCAGAAGCCGTGGTTTCTTTTCAAGAAAGGGTAGAGGATCTTCTGGTTGTAGAGGAACAACTAGACGTTGATGTTCGTTCTCTTGAAACGTGTCCTTATTCCGCAAATACCTTTGCCGACATACTGTCCAAGATCCAGAAGTCAGTAGATGAACTATCTTTGAAGAACTATTCCAACTTGCATATCTGGGTAGCAAGACTCGATGAAGAAGTGGAGAAAAATTTGGCCGCTAGATTGGAAGCTGGAATAAAAGCGTGGACTGATGCGCTGACAGGTCATAAAAAAGAGGTGGACCTGAGTATGGATACGGATGCTCCTGCACAGCCGACGCACAAGCCCGGCGGCGACCCTAAGATTCAAAATCAGATCCACGAAGTTCGAATTACGAATCAAACTATGTATTTGTATCCTAGTATTGAAGACGCAAGATTTCAGATAATGCAGCAATTATTTGCATGGCAGGCAATTGTTACATCGCAAATCCGTCTCCAAAGTTCCAGATATCAGGTTGGATTAGATAAACCCGAATCAGGCACGTATAGAAATTTGCTTACGAAGTTGCCCTCTGGTAAGCAACCACTGGAGGCGGCATATGAAGCGGTCGAATCTAAAATGAAAGATGTTGCTGATTACGTTGACCAGTGGCTACGTTATCAAGCTCTTTGGGATCTACAACCGGGCAATCTCTATGGCAAGTTAGGCGAAAATATTAATTTATGGATGAAGTGTCTCAACGATATAAAGAAGACGAGAACTACTTTCGACACTTCCGACACTAGACGTGAATTCGGACCAATGATTATAGATTTTGCGAAGGTGCAGAGTAAAGTCTCGCTAAAATACGACTCGTGGCATAAAGAGACCTTGGGTAAATTCGGAACACTTCTTGGTAATGAAATGGCCAGTTTTCACGCACAAGTATCGAAATCTAGGAGCGATCTAGAACAACAATCCATTGAAGCAGCCAGCACATCTGACGCAGTTGGCTTCATAACGTATGTCCAATCCTTAAAGCGTAAAATGAAAGCTTGGGAAAAGCAGGTCGATGTGTATCGCGAGGGTCAAAGGATACTCGAACGTCAAAGATTCCAATTCCCGTCTTCTTGGCTGCACGTGGATAATATAGAAGGAGAGTGGGGCGCATTCAACGAAATCATAAAACGCAAGGACACTAGCATTCAAACTCAGGTTGCCTCCTTACAAATGAAAATTGTCGCCGAGGACAAAGCGGTCGAAACAAGAACCACCGATTTCCTCAGCGATTGGGAGAGGGGAAAACCTGTGGAGGGCCATTTGCGACCAGACGATGCTTTGCAACAGTTGCAATTATTCGAGAGCAAATTTGCCAGACTTAAGGAAGAAAGGGATAATGTTGCGAAAGCGAAAGAGGCGTTGGAATTACAAGAGCCGGGTGGAATATCGACCAGTGAAGACAGAATGCAGGTGGTGTTTGAAGAATTGCAAGACTTGAGAGGAGTTTGGTCGGAATTGTCGAAGATATGGACACAAATCGACGAGACGCGTGAGAAACCTTGGCTCTCCGTGCAGCCGCGAAAGTTGCGCCAGCAATTAGACACGATGATGGCGCAACTGAAGGAACTCCCAGCGAGATTGAGGCAATATTCCTCGTATGAATACGTGAAAAAGATGTTGCAGAGTTACACGAAAGTGAACATGTTGATCGTAGAATTGAAGTCGGACGCGCTCAAGGAAAGACATTGGAAGCAGTTGACGAAACAGCTCAGAGTGAATTGGGTGTTGAGCGAACTTACCCTCGGCCAAGTCTGGGATGTGAATCTTCAGAAAAACGAGGGTATAGTCAAGGACATTATTCTGGTGGCTCAAGGAGAAATGGCTCTCGAGGAATTCTTGAAGCAAGTGCGCGAGTCTTGGCAGACTTACGAGTTAGATTTGATAAATTATCAGAACAAATGCAGACTGATACGCGGTTGGGACGATTTATTTAATAAGGTGAAAGAACACATCAATTCAGTGGCCGCCATGAAGTTATCGCCGTATTACAAAGTGTTCGAGGAAGAGGCCTTAACTTGGGAGGAAAAGTTAAACCGAATCAATGCCCTGTTCGACGTGTGGATAGATGTGCAACGACGATGGGTTTATCTCGAAGGCATTTTCTCCGGTAGCGCGGACATCAAGACGTTATTACCGGTGGAGACGTCGCGTTTCCAAAGTATCAGTTCCGAATTTCTCGGCTTGATGAAGAAAGTCTCCAAGTCACCTATGGTTACGGACGTTCTGAACATCCCGGGCGTTCAGAGAGCGCTCGAACGTCTCGCCGATCTTCTCGGTAAGATACAAAAGGCGCTGGGAGAATATTTGGAGAGAGAACGAACATCTTTCCCGCGATTTTACTTCGTCGGCGATGAAGACTTGTTGGAAATTATTGGCAATAGCAAAAATATCGCACGACTGCAAAAGCACTTCAAGAAGATGTTCGCCGGTGTAGCCGCTATTTTGCTGAACGACGATAATACGATTATTACCGGTATCGCGTCGCGCGAGGGTGAAGAAGTTATATTCCAAAGTCCGGTGTCTACGATCGATTATCCCAAGATTAACGAATGGTTGACGCTGGTCGAGAAGGAAATGCGCGTGACGCTCGCCTCGAGCCTCGCGAAAGCCGTACAGGATATCAAACAGTTCAAGGACGGCAATATTAATCCGCAGGCATTTATGACATGGTGCGACAATTATCAGGCTCAGATAATAGTTCTAGCTGCGCAGATTCTGTGGTCCGAAGACGTGGAGGCTGCGCTTCACGAGGCGCAAGCGGATCCGAGCAAAAATCCATTGGAGAGAGTTCTGGTGCAAGTGGAGGGCACGTTGAACGTTTTGGCCGACTCCGTTCTTCAAGAGCAGCCACCTTTGAGGAGGAAAAAGTTGGAACACCTGATCAACGAGTTCGTGCACAAGCGCACCGTCACCAGACGATTGACCGCCAATAAAGTTTCAAATCCCAAGGCATTCGAGTGGCTGTGCGAGATGCGATTCTACTTCGATCCCAGACAAACGGAGGTGCTGCAGCAACTTACGATACATATGGCGAACGCCAAGTTCTTCTATGGATTCGAGTACCTGGGAGTTCAGGACAGATTGGTGCAGACCCCGTTGACCGATAGGTGTTATCTAACGATGACCCAAGCTTTGGAGGCCCGGCTCGGTGGATCGCCGTTCGGACCCGCCGGTACGGGAAAGACCGAATCCGTAAAAGCTTTAGGACACCAACTCGGAAGATTCGTATTGGTGTTTAATTGCGACGAGACATTCGATTTTCAGGTACGCTTATAAAGAAAAAAAAATTCGCTCGATAACGTCGAAGGTAAAGATAAATATGCGTTTTATATAATCGCCATTTCTTGCAGGCTATGGGCCGTATATTTGTCGGTCTTTGTCAAGTGGGCGCGTGGGGTTGCTTCGACGAATTCAATCGCTTGGAGGAGCGCATGTTGTCCGCCGTTTCTCAACAAGTGCAGACAATTCAGGAGGCGCTTAAGAGCCAGATGGAAGGCAAAAGAGAGGGAACTCTCTGTGTCGAATTAGTCGGGAAACAAGTCAAAGTCTCGACGGATATGGCTATTTTCATTACCATGAATCCCGGATATGCCGGACGCTCCAACTTGCCGGACAATCTCAAGAAACTTTTCCGATCGCTCGCTATGACCACCCCTGATCGTCAACTTATTGCCGAAGTGATGCTTTTCAGCCAGGGATTCCGATCCGCGGAAAAATTAGCGTGCAAAATTGTCCCATTCTTCAAGTACGTATTCGGATATATATTTTATATATTTTATACGTACCTTTGTCAATTTTATCATGGTTATAATAAATCTGTGTCTACCCTTCTTTTTTTTTTTAGGCTCTGCGACGAACAACTTTCCAATCAATCGCATTACGACTTTGGATTACGTGCTCTTAAGTCCGTACTGATATCTGCCGGAAACGTGAAACGCGATCGTATACAGAAAATTAAGGAGGGCATGCAGAATCGTGGTGAAACCAATATCGACGAAGCCTCTATCGCAGAAAATCTGCCCGAGCAAGAGATACTCATTCAGTCCGTATGCGAAACGATGGTTCCGAAATTAGTTGCCGAGGATATTCCGTTGTTGTTCAGTTTACTTAGCGACGTGTTCCCTAACGTAAATTATACACGCGCAGAAATGAAAGGTAAATTATTATTTAATGGACCTTTAGAAGCAAAGCTGTGTTATGGCGCGATATGAATATTAATATCGTCGACATTAATATTATTGTGGAGGGAAAAGCGTGTAACGCATATGTTGAATATTTTCCACCAAATGTACGTAGCGAATCAATCTTCCACGCTGTGGTAGAGCTGCGCAAGAAAAAAATTGCTTATAAATTAATTTAACAATTACGGTAAGAGGGATTTTCAAGGAATTTGAAATTTATGATAACACAGCATTGGAGCTCAAGGATTAGTTTAAGGCTCCAGAATAGTCAGGCAAGAATTCCGCGTTGACAATAGTGATACGGTTCAGAACGGCAAAAGGATGAACTAAAGTGCATCCAGCAAGCGCTACAGATGCTTCGGAGCGTTTCCCCTTCTTCATTTATCTTTCGGAATTGAATAAAGGAAAAAAAAAGGAGAAATGTTTCAAAGCATTCGTAGCGCTTGTTGAATCGCATTTATATGCGTGAAGAATGTTGGCAACGGAATTTAGTGTTGCATACATTTTCCTTCTTATTTGCTTAATTGTGCAGGTGTGACTTATTTATTAAACCCGTACAAATGGACGAGAACCGCGATTAATTGGGAATTTTATACGTGGGGGCATATTTTCCATTCCTTAACAATTTTATCCTCCCATAATAATATTGATAATATTTATATTGTACTATAACACACCCGTGCTTTGCTTGATAAATTATTATTGTATTGTAAGATGAAAAATATTTACGGATATATCTGCAATGTCTCTACTTATATTTGTATACTTCACTTTAGGACTAAAAGATCAAATTAGGAAAGTATGTGCCGAGGAATATCTGGTGTGTGGCGAAGGAGACGAGCAAGGAGGTGCTTGGCAAGAAAAGGTAATATATTTCTCTGATAGTAATATTATATAATGTGATAAAATAACACTTATTACTAACACCAGTCACACTTTTATGCACTTTAATAACCTCACGATACATTAATTAATATTTCTTATATATATGTATAATATCACTTAACGATGCTAAGGACTTAATTTTCATATTGTTTATGCGCACTAAGGAATCGGTTGGTGAGACGTGGGTAGAAAAGGTGAGATTGATGTGATAAAATATATTCGTGTCAATTGTTAGTATATTTCATATACCCGGCATCTTCACGAACGATGCCTCGTCGCAATTAACGTTCATTCATTCATTCTGTACTGAAACTAGATTTCTCGTGTGCGGTCTTCTTGGTAATTTTACCTATTTGTTGCTTCCTTTCGTCGAGTCTGATCGATTAACTTTTTTGCGATCACATATATATATTTTTCCCGTTGTTTGTCTAGGTACTTCAATTATATCAAATCTGTAATTTGAATCACGGCTTAATGATGGTCGGTCCAAGCGGTTCAGGCAAAACCATGGCGTGGAAGGTGCTGCTCAAAGCGTTGGAGCGATTCGAAGGCGTGGAGGGTGTCGCCCACGTAATTGACCCTAAGGCGATCAGCAAAGAAACGTTATACGGCGTGTTAGACCCGAACACGCGCGAATGGACGGACGGTTTGTTCACGCACATACTGAGAAAGATCATCGATAACGTCCGAGGAGAAATCAACAAACGGCAGTGGATCATATTCGACGGCGACGTCGACCCGGAATGGGTGGAGAATTTGAACTCGGTGTTGGATGACAATAAACTTCTTACTCTGCCCAATGGCGAGCGTTTGAGCTTACCGCCGAACGTGAGAGTGATGTTTGAGGTGCAAGATTTGAAATACGCGACCTTGGCCACTGTGTCGCGCTGCGGTATGGTTTGGTTCTCGGAGGACGTGCTGTCGACGGAAATGATATTCGAGAATTACATGCTGCGTCTGCGAAACATCCCGCTGGAAGACGGAGAGGAGGACAATCTCGGGAAGAAAACCGCGGAGAAAGAGGACACTGTGTCACCGGCATTGGCGGTGCAGAGGGAAGTCGCCAGTAACATGCAAAGTTACTTCGCACCCGACGGTTTAGTGGTGAGATGCTTGGAATACGCGATGAAGCAAGAGCATATAATGGATTTCACGCGCTTACGAGCTCTCAGTTCCCTGTTCTCCATGTTGAATCAAGCCGTTCGCAATGTATTGCAATACAATCACTCTCACACGGACTTCCCTCTGCCGAGCGAGCAGTTGGAACGTTACATGCCGAAATGCTTGGTTTATGCGCTCCTGTGGAGCTTCGCCGGAGACGCCAAGTTAAAAGTCAGATCCGACCTCGGTGATTTCGTACGGTCCATCACGACTGTGCCGTTACCGTCTCAGAATAACATACCGATTATAGACTTTGAGGTGAACATACACGGCGAGTGGTTACCTTGGAGCAACAAAGTTCCCCAAATCGAGGTGGAGACTCACAAAGTAGCCAGTCCAGATATCGTTGTACCGACTTTAGACACTGTGAGACACGAAAGTTTATTGTATACTTGGTTAGCCGAGCACAAACCTTTGGGTAAGTAATTTTACTTGACTCTTTAGCGAAAACGCGCGGTAATATTTATGCGTGTGTGCATTTAAACATTTCATTCTGTTCAATTTGGTTTACAAGTTAGCACCGTGTCTTTCGCTTGTATCCGATGTTTCGTGAATTTCAGTTCATATCTTCGGGATGAGGAACGACCGGGACTCGGTTTCGGCTCCTGAAAGACCCGGTGCTAATTCGGAAACCCGATGAAATATTTAAGCCAAATCGCGAGAGCCTAGAATATTATTTTAATTCTATGTTCGCAGTGCTTTGTGGACCACCCGGCTCCGGCAAAACCATGACGCTATTTTCCGCTCTGCGGGCGCTGCCGGACATGGAAGTTGTCGGATTGAACTTTTCTTCCGCAACGACACCGGAATTGTTGCTCAAAACGTTTGATCATTACTGCGAATATCGCAAAACACCTAACGGTGTCATACTTTCCCCGGTGCAGTTGGGCAAGTGGCTGGTTTTATTCTGCGATGAAATCAATTTGCCGGACATGGATAATTACGGGACGCAGCGTGTAATCTCCTTCCTGAGGCAATTGGTCGAGCATCGAGGTTTCTACAGGACAAGCGACCAAGCATGGGTCACATTGGAAAGAATTCAGTTTGTCGGCGCGTGTAATCCACCCACAGATCCCGGCAGGAAACCCCTCAGTCACAGATTCCTGCGACACGTGCCCGTTATTTATGTCGATTATCCTGGGGAAACTTCCTTGAAGCAAATTTATGGCACATTCACGCGTGCTATGCTTAGGTAAAGATTTGACTTTTAGAGCGTTTGTCGTACTTATATTTGTCGATCGAAACATTTATTACAATGTTTCGAACACATACACACACTCTCTCTCTCTCTCTCTCTTTTTATTTTTTTCTTTGTAGCTAAATTATATAATCATGTTCAATGACTCGAGAGAAATTTTTCTATCTGTATTTTCCATTTATATAAATTTATATAAATTTGTCTATTCTGTTACAGACTAACACCTTCCCTAAGAGGTTACGCGGAGCCCTTGACAAACGCAATGGTGGAGTTTTACCTGGCCTCTCAAGAAAGATTTACACAGGATATGCAGCCACATTACGTGTATTCTCCGCGAGAAATGACACGTTGGGTGCGCGGCATTTGCGAAGCCATTAGACCACTGGATAATCTCTCTGTGGAGGGTTTAGTGCGTTTGTGGGCCCACGAGGCTCTTCGCTTATTCCAGGACAGATTGGTGGAAGATTCTGAGAGAGCTTGGACCAACAAGAATATAGACACAGTAGCTTTGAAACACTTCATGTCGGTCGATCGGGAAAAAGCATTGGCTAGACCAATCTTGTACAGTAACTGGCTATCGAAGGACTATGTTCCAGTGAACAGGCAGGAATTGAGAGACTACGTCCGAGCGAGGTTGAAAGTATTTTACGAGGAGGAATTAGATGTGCCGTTGGTACTATTTGACGAAGTCCTCGAACATGTTCTACGAATTGACAGAATTTTCCGACAGCCTCAGGGACACTTGTTGCTTATCGGTGTCTCTGGCGCTGGAAAGACGACTCTGTCGAGATTTGTTGCATGGATGAATGGCTTGTCTATCTTCCAAATTAAGGTATTTCTATGTCATATATATATATATATGTATATATATGTATATGTATGTATATGTATGTATATGCATATATATATAATATATATATGTGTGTGTATATATATGTGTGTGTATATATATATATATATATATGTATACATATATATCTCGTATTGAATGCTAAACATGTGAATTTTTCTGATCAATTTTCATGATATTTTAATATTTTAATTGAATATTTTAATTCGAAAGGTGCACAATAAATACACCGGTGAAGACTTCGACGAAGATCTGCGTCAAGTACTGAGACGATCCGGCTGTAAAGATGAGAAAATAGCTTTCATTCTCGATGAATCTAACGTGTTAGATTCCGGTTTCCTCGAACGTATGAACACGTTGCTCGCCAATGGAGAAGTACCCGGGTTGTTCGAAGGTGACGAGTACACGACGCTTATGACGCAATGTAAGGAGGGTGCTCAACGAGAAGGCCTAATGTTAGATTCTAACGAAGAATTGTATAAATGGTTTACCGGCCAAGTTATGAAAAATCTGCATGTCGTGTTCACGATGAATCCAAGCACGGACGGTCTGAAGGATCGCGCGGCAACGTCACCGGCGTTGTTTAACAGATGCGTGCTGAATTGGTTCGGTGATTGGTCGGACAACGCGTTATTCCAAGTTGGCAAGGAGTTTACCAATCGCGTGGATCTGGAAAGACCCATGTGGAAGTGTCCTGACTTCTTCCCGTCTGTGTGCTCTTTGATTCCGTCGCAACCATCGCACAGAGATGCTGTTATAAACGCGTGTGTGTACGTTCATCAGACCTTGCATAAAGCGAATACGCGATTAGCCAAGAGAGGCGCGAGAACCATGGCTATCACGCCGCGCCATTACTTGGACTTCATCAATCACTTTGTGAAGCTGTATCAGGAAAAGAGGAGCGACTTGGAAGAACAACAGTTGCATTTGAACGTCGGTCTGAGCAAAATCGCCGAAACGGTGGAACAAGTGGAAGAAATGCAGAAGAGTTTAGCTGTGAAATCTCAGGTGAGATCATTCTTATTTCTATTAATACATGGTTTTTAATACAATGAATTTTAACGAAAGATATAAAAGCCCTGACGGTATACAACTAAGTAAGGACAAACAAAAACGATGTACGAATAAAAGGCTCTTATTAATCATTCTTCTTCATCGTTCTTATTCGTTCTTATTGATTATAACGAGTTATCTTCTACGTATTCGTTTTTACCGTAGGAATTACAAGCTAAGAACGAAGCTGCTAACGCGAAATTGAGGCAGATGGTCAAAGATCAACAGGAAGCAGAGAAGAAGAAAGTGCAGAGCCAAGAGATCCAGCAGCAGTTGCGTATGCAAACGGTGGCGATCAATGAGAAAAGGGACGATGTCATGGCCGATCTCGCTCAAGTCGAACCAGCCGTTATCGATGCCCAAAACGGTACGTATCTGCTGGAATACTATTTTCTGCATTATATAATATCGATTTATTTACATTTAAGTCTAACGGACTACACGTATAATTTTATGAGGAAAATTAATCCGTCTTTATAATAATATAAACTACCATTCTCCATACATTTCGCGCGCGCTCGTGTATTAAAAAAAAACATCATATTTACCGAAGTATATCATACGTATACAAATATATTACAATATATCAAGCTATATGCTCAACATTTTAACTTGTCTGTATTCAAAAGTACGGAGACAACGTCATACACACCCGGATAGAACCAATTTTTAAAAGATCTCCTAAAGACGTCCGAAAGATATCTAAAAAAAAATAGAACGCCTTTTAGATGTCTTTAAGACATCTTTCAGACACGTTCTGCCTGGGTACGTTTATGCTTCGAATTATTGGTATTTTTCAATCACGGTGTAATACCGTCTTCCCTCTATCTGACGTGCTTGCGCTGAAACGTTTGCGATGAGCGTAGCTGTGAAGGGAATTAAACGGCAGCATCTCGTCGAGATTCGATCTATGGCGAATCCCCCTGCCGTCGTAAAATTGGCGGTAGAATCGATTTGCCTGTTGCTCGGGGAAAACGCGACAGATTGGAAACAGATTCGTACTGTTATAATGAAGGACGGCTTTATCCCGACTATCGTCAACTTTAACACGGAGAGCATCACGTAAGAGAAACAATCACGGAGTTTGCTGAATGTTCAACGTTCGCTCGCGTGAGATTCTAATACACACAAACGCACAAGCTACTGTAACAACGTCTTCATACGTGTCCTCTATTTTACTTAACAATTGTTCATTAATTTCAGCATATACTTGTGTTATCGCGTTCTTACGACTGCGAGGAGAACTTGTTATAAAAATATTTAAACACAAAACTTCGACCGTGTAACGCGAACTTTTCCGTAGATCGTTTATGTTCCTTAAAAGTGTAAAAATGAGACGTAACGTGTGTACATATCGCTCACCTTTCTCGAAATTGTTATAGGTCATCTGAAGGCTTTCGCAGTCAATATCTTTGTGTTTCTTGCGTGATAACATATCACCATAACTTAATTTAATGCCTGCACATCTCTTCATTGTATTACATAATGGCCTATAATTATGTTTGTATAGCGGTGAAATCGATAAAGAAACAACATCTGGTCGAGGTTCGTTCTATGGCGAACCCGCCGGCGATTGTGAAGGTTGCTTTGGAATCTATCTGTTTATTGCTTGGTGAAAATGCCAGCGACTGGAAGTCGATCCGCGCTGTCATCATGAGGGACAATTTTATCAATACTATTGTCTCTAATTTTAGTACTGAGGACATTACGTAAGCATGCACATTCATTATTTGTTTCTTTCATACAGTTTTACGCTCTTATATCGAAAGATCAGCTGTTATACATTGAAATATTGGCATATAATATTAATGTAATATTATTACCAATGCTTATGATGACACAATCACATTTGACTCCTCTTTGAGTGATCACTGAAATAAATTATTTAAATTTATAATAATTTTTGAGTATACTTTGCGCTTACGCATGCTTCTCATTTTTTTGAATTGTGTTGAAGCCCAAATACGTTAGCGCGTGAAGGAAAATGGATTTTGCTTTTATAAATTATAAAAGTGCGATCATTTAATTCGGCAAGTAGTTCTGAAGAAAACTTGGAGATATTGGAATGTATATGATAACAAATCTTAATAACACAAATTATTAAATATGATTACTATTTTCTTATTGTATATTAACGATTGGTAAATCTCGTCACTAACATTGAATTGTGCTTAAATTTTATTTATTGACAATAATGTGTGTGACGTTTATATAAATGTAACATTTTAATCAAGATTAATAATATGTGACAGAACTACTGCATGAAAATTATCTTAACGTAACAAAAATGATATATTGCACTAGAATTGTGAAGTTATTTTACTTTAAATACAAAAGTTCGCATAAATTTTAGCGATGAGGTGAGGGAAAAAATGAAGAGTCGCTATTTGAGCAACCCTGATTACAACTTCGAGAAAGTGAATCGAGCTAGTTTGGCTTGCGGCCCTATGGTGAAATGGGCCATAGCGCAGGTAATTAATATACTTACTTCACATAATTCACAAGATATATATGCATATAAAATGGAATATTAAACAAAAAAACGAAAATTAAAGTTTTATAAAAAAAAATTTTTGTAGATTTAAAAGGAGAGCCAAAGAAAAAAATTTTGGCATTATTTCTTGCATATATGTAGAAGATATTAAATATATTTTTATATAAAAATAATAAACATTTAAATATAGAATAAGATTCGACAATAAAAGTATAGTTTTATGTTAATAAAGTTGACTGTGAAATAATTAAAAAAATTATCACCTACGCAGGAAATAACGCTATCAAACATTGTAATCCTTGAGTTTTGTTTGGAAAATCTTTCATAAATTTTCAATTTGTCAAAGATATTTAATTATTAATTGAAAGTAATTCATTTTGCGTGTCACTTATATCGTTGTTCGGAACAAGATGCAAAATAAACGTTATTTCAGATCGAATACGCGGATATGTTGAAGCGAGTTGAACCGCTACGCGATGAACTTCATTCTTTGGAACGACAAGCGGAAACTAATAAACTAAAGGGCGAAGAGGTGAAGGATTTGATAGCTCAACTGGAGCAGAGTATAGCGTCGTATAAGGAAGAATATGCCCAGCTGATTTCGCAAGCGCAAGCCATCAAGGCCGATTTGGAGAGCGTGCAGGCCAAGGTGGACAGATCGATCGCCTTGTTGAAGTCTTTGGTTATAGAAAGGGAGAGATGGGAAGCAACGAGTGAAACGTTTAAGAGTCAAATGTCCACAATAATCGGGGATGTTCTGCTGTCTTCCGCGTTCCTGGCTTATGCCGGTTATTTCGATCAACATGTAAGTCCCAAGGGATTCATAATATTCCGCTTAAAGTGACGAATCTTGTTGATCTACGGTCAAGTTTGTTTTTTTGTTTTTATTTCAGTACCGCCAAAATCTCTTTAGTACATGGTGCCAGCATCTGCAACACGCGAATCTACAATTCAGACCTGATATCGCTAGAACGGAGTATCTTTCTAATCCGGACGAGCGTTTGAGATGGCAAGCGAACGCATTACCCACCGACGATCTGTGCACCGAAAATGCGATTATGCTGAAGCGCTTCAACAGATACCCGTTGATCATCGACCCGTCCGGGCAAGCGACGGAGTTCATCATGAATGAATTTAAGGACCGAAAAATCACCAAGACCAGCTTCCTGGACGATTCGTTCAGGAAAAATCTCGAGAGCGCTCTGCGTTTTGGCAATCCTTTGTTGGTCCAAGACGTCGAGAATTACGATCCGATACTGAATCCCGTGTTGAACAGAGAACTGAGGCGAACCGGCGGACGCGTGTTGATCACGCTCGGCGACCAGGACATTGACCTCTCGCCGTCTTTCGTGATCTTCCTGTCGACGAGAGATCCGACGGTGGAATTCCCACCGGACATTTGTTCGCGCGTGACGTTCGTCAACTTCACCGTTACCAGGAGTTCGCTGCAGAGTCAGTGCTTGAATCAAGTGCTGAAGGCTGAACGTCCGGACATCGACGAGAAGAGGTCCGACCTGCTGAAACTTCAGGGCGAGTTCCATCTGAGATTGCGCCAGCTGGAGAAATCCCTGTTGCAAGCGTTGAACGACGCGAAAGGTAAGATACTCGATGACGATTCCGTGATCACTACTCTGGAGACCTTGAAGCAGGAGGCCGCCGACATCAGCAAGAAGGTGGAGGAAACGGACAAAGTCATTGCGGAGATCGAGACGGTGTCGCAGCAGTATATGCCTCTGTCACAGGCGTGTTCCAACATGTACTTCACGATGGACAGCCTCAACCAAGTACACTTCTTGTATCAGTATTCGTTGAAGATGTTCCTGGACATCTTCACGTCCGTATTGTCGCAGAATCCGAAATTATCCGGCCTATCGGATTACACACAGAGATTATCGCTCATCACGCGCGACTTGTTCTCCGTCTGCTACGAACGTGTCGCGCGAGGGATGCTCCATACGGACCGATTAACATTCGCCCTCTTGCTCTGCCGTATTCACCTGAAGGGCATACCGACCGAGTCCACTTACGACAGCGAGTTCACGTTCTTCCTGCGCGGCAAGGAAGGTGTGCTTAATATCCGAGGTCCACCGGTGTCTAATCTCAGTTCGGAGCAGCAAGAAGCGATGATGCGGCTGAGCATAAGATTGCCCGCCTTTAAGAAGCTCACGGAGAAGATACAGGAAAATATGGAGTTCGGGCCGTGGCTGCAGTCACCCACACCCGAGACGTGCGTACCGAAGCTCTGGGACGAGGAGAAGCCGCTGTCACCGACCGGGACGGCGATGCACGAGTTGCTGGCGATACAAGCCTTCCGGCCGGATCGCGTGATCGCGGCCGCATCCTTGGTGATGACCTCCGCCTTTGGCGAGTCCTTCATGCCAAATGCAGAAGCCGAGCTCGACCTCGCGTCCGTCGTGGAGAACCAACTGAAGGCGACCGTGCCGGCTCTGCTTTGCTCGGTGCCGGGCTTCGACGCTTCCGGCCGAGTGGACGACTTGGCCGCGGAATTGGGCAAGCAGATAGCCAGCATCGCGATCGGCTCGGCGGAAGGGTTCAATCAGGCCGACAGAGCGATAAACATGGCCGTGAAGGCCGGCAGATGGGTGCTGCTGAAGAACGTGCATCTCGCGCCGCAGTGGCTGGTACAGTTGGAGAAGAAACTGCACAGCCTGCAGCCGCACGCCGGTTTCCGCCTGTTCCTCACGATGGAGATCAATCCTAAGGTGCCGGTGAATCTGCTCCGAGCCGGTAGGATCTTCGTGTTCGAACCGCCTCCCGGTATACGAGCGAACTTGCTACGCACGTTCAGCACCGTGCCAGCCTCGAGGATGATGCGGGCGCCCAACGAGAGGGCCCGCCTCTACTTCTTGCTCGCGTGGTTCCACGCGATCGTGCAGGAACGGCTGCGTTACGCGCCGCTAGGCTGGGCTAAACACTACGAATTCAATGAGAGCGACTTGAGAGTCGCCTGCGACACCCTGGACACTTGGATCGAGGCGACGGCCATGGGCCGAACGAATCTACCACCCGAGAAGGTGCCCTGGGACGCTTTAGTGACGCTGCTCTCTCAGTGTATTTATGGCGGTAAGATCGACAATGACTTCGATCAACGTCTACTGGCGTCTTTCTTGCGCAAGCTCTTCACACCGCGCTCGTTCGAGGCCGACTTTGCTTTAGTCGCCAACGTAGACGGCGCGCAAGGTAATCAGAGGCATATCACGATGCCGGATGGCACCAGGCGAGATCATTTCTTGAAGTGGATCGAGTCTCTCTCGGATAGGCAAACACCTTCCTGGCTTGGTCTGCCGAATAACGCGGAAAAGGTGCTCCTGACCACGAGAGGCACAGATTTGGTCTCCAAGCTTCTCAAGATGCAGCAACTGGAGGACGAAGATGAATTGGCGTACTCGAACGACGAATCTTTAGATACTCCAAGAGAAGCTGAAGCGGACGGTCGACCTTCGTGGATGCGAACCTTACACAACTCGGCATCGACTTGGTTACAGTTACTCCCAAAGAATCTGCCGACTCTGAAGAGAACGGTCGAGAATATCAAAGATCCTCTGTATAGATACTTTGAGAGAGAGGTGAACAGCGGGGCAAAATTACTTCAAGATGTCATACACGATTTGGAAGATGTCGTATTAATTTGTCAGGTATGCACGTTTTATTTTTCTGAAATTTAAAGCCGATGTAACATTTCGATCAGTCTAGTTAATGCAGCACTTGTGTCTTTAACAGGGCGAGAAAAAACAGACTAATTACCATAGAACAATGCTGTCCGAATTAGTAAAGGGTATCTTGCCTGGTGGTTGGAGGAGATACACTGTACCGAGAGGTTGTACGGTTATACAATGGATCACTGATTTTAGTCATCGAGTCTCGCAGCTGCAGGAAGTTTCGCGTTTGGTATCTCAAGGTGGAGCCAAGGAAATAAAGGTTAGTTTCCATCTTTTCAAAATTATTCGATTCATGTCACTTTGTTAGGTGTTTTATTATTGATCTTGTCCATGTACAAAAGATGAACTACGCAACGTGATCAGCTTAGTTTATTTTGCTGTTAATGGACCGCTTGAAAATTTTTTTCTAGTATAACATAGTTTAGAATGAGCTTTAAAATCATCCTAAAGCTCACCTTGAAGCCATATTATATTAGACAAAAAAAGGTTCAAGCTGCCCGCTAACAGCAGAATACTAAGCTGATCACGTTGCGTGATTTATCCTATATAAAATGAATCGTTGTTCACAGAGTTTCCCGGTTTGGCTCGGTGGCTTGCTGAATCCCGAGGCTTACATCACCGCGACCAGACAGTGTATCGCGCAGGCCAATAGCTGGTCACTCGAGGAATTACAGTTGAACGTAACTATCGGCGATGGCGATAACATTGCCACGGACGATTGCTCTTTCGCCGTTACTGGCCTGAAACTGCAAGGCGCGCAATGTAAGGATAATCAGCTGTATTTAACATCGACTATTATGACCGATTTGCCGGTGACGATGCTGCGATGGATACGATCCTCCACGGAGGATATTAGGAAGGGCAAATTATCCTTACCGGTTTATCTCAACAGTACTCGTACCGAACTGTTGTTCACAGTTGATTTAAATATTGCTCCTAGTCAAGAACCGCATAGTTTCTATGAAAGAGGAGTCGCTGTCTTAACATCCACCGCTTTGAATTAATAACTACTTAATAACCGACTTTTAGTGCGGACTGTGCCGCTTGTATTACCGCAAGAATTATTATGACCGCGATAAGTAAAAGCAGTTCGAGACGCGTTGCTACGTGTTAAAATGTTTATAAAATAAAAGGAGTTACGGTAATTTACGACTTGCTACAAGTCTGGAATGCATATATACAAAGATATTAAAAAAAAAAATGTAATTTACATCAATTGCTTTCAAGTCATTAAAATATTTTGTGCTAAATGTATGATTAGAAACGGATATTTTCGATGTGTTCGCGCGTATATAATTAAATGTATATTATTCATTTCTGAGAATTAACACATTTTCACACAGAAAGGAGATTGTAATGTAATATATAGAGTTTATGATTTTATATATGTTCGAACTTAAAATATATGATTTTTCATAACAAAGTTACATTACGTTTATTCAGATGTAAGTATATGCAAATAAGTATATCACAGTATTAGTGTTTATAACAGAAACTTGATGGCATCTAATAAAGTACTATTATAATATTTATTCCCTACTATTTATGTGCAATCATTATTTAATAGTTATATTGTATGCACGTGTATGTAAATTATGTGAGGTAGAAATTTTCTGTAATTATTAATAATTATTTCGATCAGCGAATTCTGCTCCATTAAATTTGATTTTGAACTATATGGAGAACATTACTCGGAGTAACATTCAGAAAGTTTCAACTGTTGTCCATTGTCTATTAAAAAGTCACTAATAAAAGAAGTTAAATGAAAAGAACGTTATTTTCGAAATTCTTTTTTTCCTGTATCACGAGTAAAGGTCGTTCTACAGAATAATATCATTGACACTTCCGGTTCTACATTAAATTGATTTTAAAAACGATTTTTGGAATATATTGCATTATATATATTCTTTAGCAAAGTTATGTAAATTTTAATTTCATAATTGTTTCACGATGAATTAAATAATTTAAGGTAAATTTAATTTTGTTTAATACATACTATTAAAGAAAAATATTAATTTATATTCGTACTTAAGATTAATACCACGAAGATAAAGTTTAATTTACATATTTAAGCGTTTTTTTAATATCTTATCTTGACTGCAGATAATTATTTTAAATCTTAATTAATCAATAAGTCTTTTTTATTAATTTATTATCATTGCACAAATTTATGGACATATGCACATATGTGTAGATAATGTGTACTTTTATAACACTATTATTAACCTTTTGTACATCAGTCTATGCAAGTGTAAAATGCTGCAATAAACCTGCTTCTCATATTAGCTTACATAGTAAATAAACATTGATAAATACATCACAAACACTGTACGAAGATCTTAATAATACAGAAGTAAATAACTGCTATATAGAGTTAGCGTGAATCAGTGGTTTATCAACTTTGAGTTAGTGAACTTTTGGTTTCGCCGATTTTGCCTTCTTCAATTTTTTCAATCCGTTTATGTTTGTCTTCAAAAGATTCCAGTAGGCTTGTTGAAATTTGTTTACATCCTTGGAATGAATCTGAAAAGTAAAAACCACGCTGTAGAAAAACCCAAGTAAACTATTTACCGTCAGCTGTCGGTAACGGGTGAAATATTTACAACAGTGGAAATCTTTTTGGAGCGTAGACACGCTCGAACTAGACAAAGATACTCCGTCGGAGTCGGTAGAGGAGGCCTGCTTTCCCTGGGTACTGGTTTATTATATCCATTAACTAAAAGAGACAGAAAATTTGGTTAATGCAAATAAAAAGAGAAAAGAGGAAATTATGGCTATATGGCTTTTTTGCACCGTCATCAGTTGATTTTTCTCATTATTCTATACTTGCAGTATCAAAATAAGATCAATGTAAAATATATCATGAATATAATCAAATGTAATAAAGTGAATTCTTTACGAGGTATTCTGTTTTTTTATGTCAATGTATTTTAAATGTTAAATATAAAATGTTAAATATAAAACGTCTTGCAAAATATCTACTATAGTTGATTTTATTTTAATACCTATGTATACAAAATGTCCAAAATACATTTTACAAAAAGTACATATAATTCTATTAATCTTTCGAAGATCTATATTTATTCTACTTAAATATATTTTGATTTCAGGTATTCTTAAAATATTTTGTGTTAATATTTTACAAGCATCAGTATAATATAATAATACTGTTATAATATATTGTTGAATTCAATTAATACTGGAATGATGAAATAGATATAAATTATATGATATTACTGCCAAAAGAATATTTACAGAACAACCAAACAGAGAATAATATCACAAATAATTTATACCTAGTAAACACTGACTATAACTGACACTAATGGTAACATTATATCAAAGTTATAAATTCCTATTCAATAATCTACTTATGTATAAAATATGTTATATTGTATTTTTACATTATTGAATGAAACATTATATCATTAATGTAATATTATTGCGAGTTGGCATTTATTGCATTACATTACAAAGAATTAAAGAAAATAATATAATTGTATTTTTCCAATACATTGTTGCATTTATAAAATACAAGTCATAAGAAACTGGTTTTTGTTAGCAATATTCAACTTTTGCTTCTACATTATTTTTCTATTTTCAATGGAACAAGTACAACTAACAATGTGACACATATAAAGTTGAGAAATACACATAGGAATGTTCTTTGAAATATTTTTTTCATCCGAATTGTATGTTCACTAGAATTAATAGAAGTTAATAAGGCGAATCTTTAATTTAAGCTGATTAATGTGCAGTTTCGGAGTATTACAATTATATTTCTGCTTGAGGATACAGTAGAAATACATTCATAATTCAGTCAGTTTCAAGTAATACTTACATCTCTTGATGGTGAGTGCTACTGAACCAGAAAGTCGCGATTTGTCAAAAAGTTTGGTTAGTTCCATTAAGAACTAAAATTAAAAATCACAGATTAATTTACACAACAGAATACAATAGTACTATGAAAATAAAAATTACCATGTCATTCTCCAACAAAACCATTTTGATAATGGTAGCATATGCTTCTAGACACGTCAAATACAATTAACCACTAAGAAGTTAAATGTAAGGTTAGAAAAACAGTTAAAAAGAAAAGATGACAAGAGGTATGTTCCATTTAGCGATCGCAACGATCATATCATTCCGCTTCTGGCTGCGTTCTAATATACATCACAAGTATTGAAAATCTATAGTATATTCATTGAGCTCTATGGACATTCGGGGAGAACGTCCATATCAGACTAAGGATTAGGGATTGTGATTGAATTGAATCTGGTCAATCAAAGCAAAATTAACTGAATTCAAATTTAGTGTGATTTAGTGAACTTTGCACTGATTGGTCAAATTTTAATTCAATCTCTAATATATAATGCACAATATTATGCACGATGAAAAAGAATGAAATATAAGTTATAAATATAGAAATTGTGTTATACAGCCGTTCATTTCATTCCGTTGTGTAAAAATAATTTCTAATTCCTACTTCTAATAATTTGAAATTTACTCATATGGCTTCTGCCTATAGGACACGGCAACGTTTGTTGCGCGGCGGTAATTCGCATGATAGCCAATCAACATGCCGTTTTTCGGTAAGAACTAGAAGTTTATTGGCTACCGCGCAAATTTCTGCTGCGCAACAAGCGTTGCCGTATCCTATGGGGAGAAGCCAATATTTTTGATACATGTTCTATTGTATGCAGGACCTTGGATTAATCGGTAGTGAAAATGGCCATTATTCTTCGCGCTTGTGCGCATGAGTCGGTCTCTTTAGAAAGAGATAAGTAGTCCTAAATATCTAGCTGTTGCAGGCACATTTTCTGTCCATAGGGATATGTTACAATTCCCCGCCCGATACATCCTGATGTATAGTATGTATAAAGCCAGCGGCACACCATGCTTGTTTTCGTGCTAGATTGTTTGCTGGATGGAAATACTGCGTCTTGATTGGTGTATTGTCATCCATTTTTGGAAATGCACCAATTAGAATGCAATATTTCTATCCAGCAAGCAATCCAGCACGAAAACAAGCATCATCTGTCGCTGGCTTAACATGAATTATACCTTTATGTCCACCTAGGTGAGGACACAGCCTAGGCGTTATATTGTAGTTCTTCTTCTAGCATGCATATATTTCAGTGAGTATATAGAAAGCTAGTGAGTATATATATGAGTGAATAACCTAAAAATGAAAAAAGGATGTTCTTTTAGGGAAGATAAACATATATATGTTTGAAACAGGAGAACAAGGAGCCTAGAACTTAAAATTCGGAGATTGAACAACAATAGAATTTATTAAAGGTAAGTATAAATTCATAACATAGTTTTACTTATAACTTATATTGGGTGCTTTCCACATGACGTATGTATTCTCTTTGTCCTTGGATATACATATGCGTTATATTTTAATACCTATAAGTTATTACGTGTGAAAATGTATATGAAAGATAACATTGATCTTTAGATCTTTAGATATATTATAAAAGTGCAATTACAGTTAAACTGCATTGTTAATTATATAGAGATTATTTATGGCTGCTAAAATATATTAACATTTTGAAGCCTTGGCCTTAAAGATGATTTATTAATGGGATCCTAGACAATTTTGATGTCCATTAAAAAATGTTCATTGTTGATGTATGTTGTTGTAACTTAGTACATTGTTGTAATTTAGCAAACAATATATCAATTTTAAGTGTGAAAAAAGCATTTTAAAAGCAGCAGAAATGTATGAAATTAAATAGCTAGGTCTGAGTTATACTCAGGCTTCGGCAGTTATCTGCGCGATACCCCGACCTATACTTGGGCTTAGGACAAAGAGTGTTAAAGTCGTGATGTTTGCATTCTGTAACTTAGGTTGACCTAACCTGAGCGTAACCTAAGGGTTGTTTTCCATTTATGATACAAATTGTCTTTTAATGTTGTTGATTTTTATTTAATTTGTAAAGGCTTATTTCGAAATGCACTGACACGACTAAAAATTGTTCGATATTAATATTCTAAGATATATTAGGACGGAAAGAAACCCAAAAACGGCCATGCCAGCGTTCTTCACGGAATACACTTTTCAATACGCCCCCTGCTGAAATATGTCCTTAATTGTGTCTATTGGACTTACCTTCCAGCGGTAAACGATAAAGTTGCTTGGTTCGTGTCTGTTCTTCTTTCATACGACAATAGGTCCGTTCGTTTTCGCTGCACCGCTGAACGCAATAAGTTGAAGCGAGACAAGTATATATATTTTCACTTCAACTTATTGCACTAGTTCAGCGGTGTAACGAAAACGAACAGACCGTTGACGAATCAGACAAGGAGCGACAATCAATCGTTTCGTCTTTGTCTCACCACCAATGAGCACATACGCACGAAGCGAGCTGGCGGTGATTTTAAGAATTTTCTGCAAAGAAATTTTTAATCATAACCATAAGTCTGTAAGAAAATTGATCAATCACAGTTTATTATTCTCCTTGCGATCGAAGAATAATTGATTGTAATTGGCCAAAATCCCTTTAGGCGTAAATTCACGATTTTGAGCTTTGAGCTAAAATAACTCAGTTTCTATTATGCAACACGTACGGCAAAAGTAAAAAGTTTCCTCATGTGATATAAATCCAAGGAATCGATTGAGTCCATCCAGAACTTCATCAGTTCAGTCATTATAGTTGAACGAGAAATCTTACTTGCGATCAACTAGTAACGCGGCGTAAATATACACGATCGTGAGACCGTTGCTTTGCGCGCGCACTTCACTACAAATCCTTTTTGAAGCTGAAGCTCTTTTTACACATTTCTTACAGATGTCTTGTCGTTTTAAATCACGTTCAATCATCACGTTCAAATTATTTAACACGATTGGACGTGTTAACACATCGTAATTTAACGCGTTAATTTAACACGATTAAACGTCTTAAATGACGTAAACTAAATCGGCAAAAAACATATAAAAATAGCTTCAGGCAAGTGTGTCATTTTAAGACATTTATGTGTATAAAAATAACATACTTGAATTTACGGTGTTGGCAGAGACACGATCATGTTTTTTTTGATAATTATTTGATAATTGTAAAGTTTTTCTATGATGTGTGTGTGAGTTTTCTTCAAGTTTAAATATATTATTTCTTATTGTTTATCATACTACATTTTTTATTGTTGTATAAAATTATATTTTTTTACTGTTTTCTTTAGCAGCAATAACGATGTATTCCAATGAAGTATCCAATGAAGTATCAGCGATGATAGAGGAAGAAGAGAAATTAGGGCGTCGTAGAAAATGGCGACTGAAGCAAAAGCTCGAAAAGGAGCACGAGAAACGAAAGCGGATGATGATTATAGCTTTTGAAAGGAAACGGAAGTCAGAGATTGATCGCCAGCAAAGGTCTTCACAATGGAGGGAGAGCCCGAAGCGGCAAAAAACTGACAAGTAAGAAAAATTTTAAATAAGGCATATAACATTCAATTTATAACAACATACATAATATGACAAGATATTGGTCGTGCCTATTATGATGCAAGAAAATAATATGTACCATTGCGCATAATAGTGGCAGAATAGCAGAAGTACCAACAAAATTTTTATCTGAAAAATAAGGCGAAATTTAAAAACAATAATAGTGAAAATATATGACAGAAATATAAACAAAATTAAAACTTGTAGACACAATACGAAATGTTTAAATTAATAAGAATATATAATATAAAATGAAATGATAAAGATAATTTACTCTAGCTTAAATATTAAGGAGTAATAAATAAGTTAAGTTTTTAATTCTTAATAGCTTTGTTACTTTTTATAATTTAAGGTAAATATTTTATTAGTCAAAAAAGCAGCTACTATATTAGACGATTGCTCATCCTCAGGAATGATTGCACTTTATTTTCTTACATCATGGTACCTACTAAAACTTTTTTCATTAAACATTGATTATGTTTTGAGATGTATAAAAAAGTGTTCAGATTGATATGTAAACGAATATATACCACATATAACTTGAACAACATTAATAAAACTTTATATGTATAATAAATTACCTCATATTATTTATAAGAGAACATGTAAATTTAATTTTTAGCAGAAAGAAACTTGAAATGAAAATTGACGTAATGAATATTTTTATTACTTTCAGAGTAAAGACGCGATCTGCATTCACGGGTCCTGATGGTATAGTCGTTGACGAAAAAGAGTTGCGTCGTACAAAAGTAGTAATTTATACAGATGCAAATCCTGGAAGAAATTCGAAGACATCAAAATCCTCAACCAAGGAGTTAATCGGCGCTTCGGATAAACCAAGAAAAGTTGATATAATCCCAAGAAAAGAAGGTAAAGTATTATATTACTTTTTGTATAGTACATACACTACCTGGATAACCAATTGCCTATGAAGTTATGTTGCTGACAATTGTTGAGGCAACAGGTAATATATGATGCTAATTGTACATTTCCACAATTCATTATCATGTACCTGTCATTCAGAGATCATTAATACAGCTTCAAGTCGAGATCTTGGATAAGACTTTGTCTACAGAGATCGTCCTACTGTTTTCCGCACATTCCCAGATAATACACTGTCTAAAATCAGGTTATAAGACGTCTAAAATCGGGTTATAAGACATCTTTAGACATCTAGGTTTACTCGTTAATAATGTTTAATTTTTTAATAATTATTGCGAAATTCATCGAAAATAGTAGGTTTTTCTATTCAGGTTAATCTGTTCTATCCGTACACAAGAGTTTTGCCATTTTCATAAATTAATATATAAGAAAATACAAATATATTTTTTCTTATAAAATAATATATTTTCATTATTTTTTCACGTAAAGTTTATAATCTATAATTAAAAAATTAATTATGAAAACATGTACGCATGCACACACATATATACAAATACACGTATATACACATACATATTTATATAAATATTGTTTTGCGTAATGAATTTTTAACTTTAAAATAAGTAAGTTTAATTTTTTAATTGTAATTAAGTTAATTTTTGTTTATATAATTTTTAACATAAATTTACAAGGAGAGGACACAATGAACGCCTCACTAATTTTGATTTCCTTGCAAGTAGTGAATCTACGTCAAAAATAAATAGATCTGCTTTTGAGCGTTTTGTTCAATGCGCCTTCTAAAAAGTTTTTAATGTTTGAATTTTCAAGCGTTCAATAATATATGTGGCGGTCGAACCTCGCCCGCGGTCATCGGCGACGCCACCGCCCAGAGCGGCCTCACGTATGAGGAAGCAAGTTCTGCAACCGCGCCCGGTCTTCTGATCGGCTTCAGCGCCACCCGGTTCTTCTGGCGCGTCGCGCGCACCGCCGGAACCACGAAAGTGTCACGTGACCCCGCCGGCCAACCACGTGTCCCGTAGCGCGATCGTGTTTTGTTTCGAAACGTCCCGGCGGTCGCGCCAGGACCCTGACTCTCCCTCTTCCTCCTCGGACTCTGGACATCGCGGGTGTGCTCGTGAGTGTTCCCTAGTGTTCACCCTTGTGCGTTCCGGCCCTCGCGACATCGCTCGCCACCGATCGCCCTCGCGACGCCTTTCGTCGCCGATCGCCCTCGCGACGCCTCTCGTCGCCGATCGCTCTCACGACCGTCGCCCTCGCGACCATCTCATTGCGCATTGCGCCCATTTCGTTTTGCGTTGCGGCCATTTTGTTCTCTCGCGACCACAGCGTTCAGCGTCGCGGTCATTTTTGTTCTACGCCGCGTTCCTTAGTTTTAGCTCATCGTTTTCCTTTGTTATGTTTGCGAGTTTGTACCTAGCTAGAAAATACAGCTGCATGTAAGCAGTCATAAGTACTCCGCTTTATTAGCGCACACCCGCAGGGCTACCCGTACTGGAGACCTTCTTCTCTTCAGCACGCGCGGTAGCCATAGGCCATACCGTCTGTGAATCACTCGCTGTATCCTCTCCTTGATAGTTAATTTATAGGCAATTAATTTTTAGCTTAACTTAGTTAACAACAAATTTAACTTACCCAACTCTGGTATAATCAATATAAATTGATAAGTCGTTATCGCAATAATATAAACTGGCTATTTGATTGTTTGATCGTAGGTGAAGGACATAAGGCATTATTCGACAGGGAAGAGATTAAAACAGCATGGGAACAATTGAGAGAATTCGGAGAATTGCGAACAGTCACGGCGGTAGACGATTTATCAGGTATTTCAAAGTTTATTTATAAATGCGTAGATCATAAACATCTTCTATCGCGTCGAATCGACCTCCAATCAAGTATTGTCATTTTAAATTTACCCTCCACCTCCATTAAATACGCTCTTATATGTAGCGTTGTCTCTCCTAGCAATATTTTTTTATAGTAAACACTAGTAATATTAAAATAATATATAGTAATTTCGGGAAAGATTACATTAGTACATATACTGAACAGAGCAAAATTTAATAATGAATTAATAATGGCAGGATAATGTTTTAATAATATAAAATTTAATGCAATAATAATATGTATTGTCAAGGATATGATCTTATCTGATTATTCTTGTCTGTCTAGATCCTTTTTTAGAATATTTCACGACAAGTGCAGATCTTTATAATAGATTCGTCTAGAAAACACATAAGAGATATAAAAATAACGTTAAGCATACTTTTAACAGAAATATAGTTCTTTAATAATATTTGTTATATGTGTAAAGAATCTTTGAAAATCCTGGAAAAAATATATGTTTGTCTAAAAAGAATTTGTATTAATAAGTTGAGAACGATTTTGAACATTTTGCAAAAATAACAACATTAAATTCAGGATAAATAAATAAAGTTATGAATACAACTTGTCAATTTTAGTAATACTATTTTTAATTTTTGATTTTATAAAGTTTTAATAAAATTAGCGATTGGTTAAATGTGCTAATAGTGATATATCAAAAAAATATATAATATATTAAAAATAGTAAGCAGGATTTTTTCGGTTTCAGAGAAGTCTTTTTCATCACAGAAGTGTCATATACATTCTGACGATGCTTCGACCAGTCATTATCATAGGTATTTATATAAAAACATATTTATTTATATTAATTAACTAAGTTTTGCGGATCGAAATTAGATG